ATATAATCGCAACATGATAACGGAGTTTTTGTGGCCTCAATTGTATGGGTCCACAGTAACTGCTAGATATTCTTCGAATATTTATAAAATATTCCTAAAATCCAAAATTAATATTCCCAGAATATCCCAAAATATTCCGGAATATTCATAGAATGTACAAAGAATACCAGGTTGATAAGTCTTTAGAATGACATTAGTGTTGTTGCCACCTCCAATGCGCCGTGAATTTCCAGTAGTGCCAACCTTTAAACCTCTCACTACACAATTGTAGACAGCTATGACAATCAGTATATTTGTGACAGCCACCGAAAGCACGTAACCTCTGATATTTTATAAAAACGGACAAAACAAATTCGTGCAGTGATTAAGTATTTCTATTGCTTGCAAGATTTGCAACCGCAAGAAATGATTGAGGATTTCCAAAAAACTTTGGGGGAGTCTGCTCCATCGAATACAACCGTATATAACTGGATTGTTGAGTTTAAACGTGATAGTACCAGCACATCGAATGCACAACGCAGTGATCGTCCAAATGAGGTGATTACACCAGAAATGAGTGAAAAAATCCATGATATCGTGTTGGATGACCCCAAAGTGAAATTGCGTGAACTAGCTGCGGCTATAGGCATCTTATCTGAACATGTGTTCAATATCCTACACGAACATTTGGATATGAGAAAGCTAACTGCAAGATGGGTACCGCGATTGCTAACAATCGATCAAAAACGTGAACGAGTTCGCTCTTCTTAGCATTGTTTGGACATGTTTAGGCGCAAATCAAAGGAATTTTTGCGTCGATATATAACCGTTGATGAAACATGGATCCACCTGAATCCATTGTACACTTGAATCGAAATAATAATCGGCACAATGGGTTTCAAAGGGTGGAAGTGTTCCGAAGCGACCAAAGACTCAACAATCGGCTGGAAAGGTTCTGGCCACTGTGTTTTGGGATGCACATGGAATAATCCTCATCGATTATCTTGAAAAAGGAAGAACAATCACAGGAAAATATTATGCATAATTGTTGGACTGATTGAATGATGAAATCAAGAAAGCCTCATTTAGCCTCATTTAGCGAAGAAAACAATTTTCTTTCATCAAGACAATGCACCAGCTCACAAATCGGTAAAAGCAATGGTAAAATTGAACGAATTGAGGTATGAATTATTCTCACATCCACCGTATTCGCTAGATCTAGTCCCGTGTGACTTCTACCTGTTTCCAAATCTCAAAAGATGGCTCCAGGGAAAAAGATTTGCTTCAAATGAAGAGGTTGAATGGGAAACAGACGCATATTTTGGCGATTTAGAAACTTCTTATTATTTGGAAGGCTTAAAGAAGCTAGAAACTCGTTGGACTCGGTGTATATAGCTAAAAGGAGATTATGTTGAAGAATAAAGTTGAGTTTTGCTAACAAAATGTTTTTTTCATTTTCACTCAAGGACTTATCAATTAACCTGGTAAGCGCAAAAAATACCACTTTTTACAAATATTGGCGAATTGATTGAAATAAAAAACTAATCAGCATTTGCTAACTTTACTTGAAATTTAAGATTACATGATTCCAAATGTTATATCACACTTAAAAATTCTCACTAACGATGAGATTTGAACTTGGATCTGAGGCCAAGATCTGAGGCCTGAGACCTTTGGATAAGCCTATTGCTTTAGACACTACACCACTTCTTCGATCGATATAAACGTTTTATATTTCATCTATATATGTGGCAATTAACGCAGTAATATAATTTCTTTATAATATGATTTAATTTTAATAAAAATTATCTTTTTCGTACTTTTATTGTTAATTTAAACCTTAACTAAGTGAAGTCTACGAAACACCGCATATTCCATTTCGGTCTTAAAATTTTTATAGTACAATTTTTTTATTGTTGTTATTAAATAGACAAAGTCGCAAGAGATTATAAAATTCGAATGATTATTGTGAGATAGTTCGAAAGCGCGATTGCGAGATCATGCTATGTGACGCATCGGCGTTGAGTTGGTGAGTGGACGCGCGTCGGGTGGATTAAAAGTAACCGAAATTGCCGAGGCCAGAGGAGGCAGTAACGAAAGGCACTCAGTTCTTACATAACCAGAACACAAGGGTTTATTTGACAAGCATTACAAGCGAGCATGCATAAAAGAGTCACGGCGTAAGGAAAACAGAAGTGTGAGCAACAAGTCCGCTCAGAGACGCAAACACGAGCGAAGTATTGCACGGGGACGCACGGCCAAAATCCCAAGCGAGTACTTGCGCTCGCTAGAGCACGAAAGCAGATTACAAGCAGTAAGGCACGTTTCTCAAGCGAGCAACGAACAGTGAGCGCAAAAGAGCAAAATGAGAGCAAGTAAATAGTAAGTACGTAAGCGTGCGACTCAAGAGTGACTGCTTAGCCGCGGCACTCGCGGCTAGGTTCCCAACGTTGTTGCCAGGCGATTTGGAGCCGAAAATTGCCTATATAAGGCAATGTTTGTCGAGCCCATCGAGCTCCGAGCACAAGATCGACAAGTAACCGCTGCCTTTTGTGTTTTTGCTGAGGCAACACAAGATGCGAAGACTCTCGCCCGACTCGCTACAACGGTCGATCCGCAACAATTATAAAAGAGCACAATTAAAAAAGAGAAAAAGTTTATCTTATCCATATAAAATTTAATTTAATTTAATTTAATTTAATTAATTAAATTTATATATAAATACAATATAAATCAACGCTTATTATAAAGGTTGCTATATCTAATACAACTATATCATATAATAAATGAAATTAGCTAATAAATCTGTCTAATGCAACTATACTATATAATAAATTAAATTAGTTAATAATAGTAATTTCTCATGAATTCTCAGAATATTTCAAGTAATGATTTGCAAAATATTTATTATAATAAATTTCTGAGGAATACTTTAGAATAAATTAAACTCGGGTAATTCTTCGGATATTCATTTTTTTAATTCTTTAGATGTTCTTTAAAATTCTCTATGAACTTCTATTCATCTCTGTGTTGTTTGGGTTGAATATTCCTTATTGTACATACAAATAGTATTCATAGAATATTCTGAATATTTCTTTATAACTATGTGAATATTCTGTGAATATTTCTTTAATATTCCGATATATATGGAACTTCTGGAATATAAACAGAATATTCGAGGAATATCTAACGTTTACTGGATCTGGAAGATATGTGGTTCCACTAAAACGGCATAACTTGTCACACTGCGCGCGAAACAATTGAGTTGTCGCAAGAGAAATTCCCTGGCCGTGTCATTTCACGCAATAGCAACTAGAATTGGCTATCGAAATCGTGCGATCTGACGCCGTGCAACTTCTTTCTTTGGGGTTTTGTCGCATCTATGCCAATAAATTAACAATTTCGTAAGGAGATTAACAATTTCGCAAGAAAACTGAAGGAGGAGATTCGACGCGCCATTACGGTAATTGAGTCGCAATTATGCGAAAATTATACGAAAATGTAATAAAAAATTTCGTCCAAAACGCAAGAGTGTATGAGCAGAGTCTTGGGGGATATGTGGCAGATATTATGTCACACTTAATTGCAATGTGTGTACTTTATACTAAAATAAAAATATCTGCATTTTTCGAATAAATTATGTCTTTCATTAAAAATTAAATTTTGCGCTCTTATTAGACCACCCTGTATACACGCACGGTACTAAAATATCTTAATTAGTTACGTGCTAATTACACAAGGTTATAATAGGAGAATATTACTTATACTGTGGAAGGATAAACACGTTCATATAATACTACTCTATTTCTCCTTTCTTGTAATTTATCAAACTTGGAAGTATTTGCAGTTATGCTTGGGAAAACCACTTTTTAAAAGCAACTTATTAGCGTTATTGTTACTGATTTAAGGTAGTTGTATCACTAAGGCCCGGTTTTTTTCAATGGTAGCTTAAACTTAGGTTTCAACTTAAACTCGATTTAAACAAAACAAACGCATTGTTAAAATAGAGTTTAAACTTGAACCCAAGTTTAAAGTGCTATTGAAAACCGGCCCTAAGTGTTCTATTTTCAGTGGTGTATCAAACAGGCTACTTATAAATTTATTATTTATCGAACAAAATTACTTTTTTGTATATATATTTTACTATCTAAATAATAAATGTTAATTTGAAACAAAGTTGAGATAAATATATATGCACATACAATATTACAAATTTGAAAATGTTATTATTTTTTATTTTTTCTATTACTTTATTTATACATAAATTGATCTAATAGAGATGCACCGATATATAATAGAAAGAAGTATATAAGTGTTTAAATATCTGTGTGTGTATTGTTTGCAAAATGATATTTGTTCAGTTTGAATATACAAACATAGGACGGCAAATGTTGCCTATATAGCACAAGATTTAAAAGATGTCCCAAAGACATCCAGATTGCTAAATGTCCGTATAAGTCCTCAGAATATCCTAAAAACATCCGAGGAATTCTAAATGTCTACACAAGTCTCCAAGATATCCCTTCAAGATCTTATGCTATGAGAGTGCCATCACAGTTCACTTATTGTATCATACATGATTAATAACCAATTTTCTTAAACTCAAAATTTTACGTGTTTGTTTGCGAAATGGTAGGGGAATTTTTTGTTCAGTTTGATAAGTTCTACCTGCACACATAAAGGGTACAATATTATAAACTGTCAGATATCCTATATATGTGCAGAGAAACAATGAAAGTAATGATTATATCCACATAAATGTGTATATGTTACACTATAAAATATATTATAATATTCGCAATTATAAAAGATATAATTATATTGCTATTACTAATAAGAAAATTAATGTCTTTATCAAGTTGTTAAAAAAGAAGTTTTTTTGAACGCGCGGCTAACAGCGTTAGAATTAATGCCAATAATTTTGATGTATCGCGATATATTCTAATAATTTCCGCGGTATTTAGTCAATTATTTGCAACATACCCTCACTGAGCGCACTTTTCTTATTTTTCTTTTCAAAGGGAATCTTCAAAGACAAGAGCAAGTATCCCACTTTAACAAGAATGTCGTATTGCCAATGTCGATTGCGACTCGTTTTCTCTAGCGTGTTCAAAGAATTTGGATGGTCGCATGTCGCACTGATATTGGACAGATCGGATTTGTTTTCGCTAACCGTAGGCAAGAACTTGGAATATGGTTTACGAAAAGACGGACTCTTGAAGTTTGTAAGAGAGTTGGACGGAAACTCCGAGGACGAGTCATATCACTTTTATCTACGTGACGCGAGTATGTATGCCAGAAGTGAGTACTAGTTAATCACACTTGTTTCAAATTCATTGTATGCCTGAAAATACAATATTAGTATCCTTAAAAAATGTTTCCTTTAAAAGAATTAATTTCAAATTTATTGTAATTATTTTCTAAATGTCTATAAATGGAATGATATTTTACTCGAAAAGTAAAGTAGCTACTAAGTCATTCGAATTCAATTGTTTTTTCATTTGTACTGAACGATTTTTTCACCCTGAATCGTCGAGTGAATTTTTTCTTTCAAAATTGAGGAATGCATCTAATGTACTTCCCACAGGATATACTTATTACAGAAACATTTTTTACTTAAATCGATTGAAACTTTCGCTCATATGGAGTTAGAACACTGAAATATATACTACCTGAAACGCGCGCTATCTCTTAAGTATTGCGAGATGAGAGAGATCATGCTTGTAGGTTTCGAACAGCGCTCTAGTACAGTCTGAAACAAAAGCTAAGTCGGCTGATTTCTAAACATAAACTGAATCTCCGAATTAGGAAAACCATCTTTACTTTGTTTTTCTTAGTAATAAGTGGATAAGTGAATATTAATAAATGAAAAAGAAAATATTTTTTTTTATATCTTAAACTTTCGTTCATAAGCTTAAGTCACTGCTAGTGATTTAGTGGTCACTGCTTTTCATATTATCTCTAACTTTTAACTTGGAATGTATTATATTCTCCCCACTCTCGACTATACTGTGATCTAGACAAGGATAAGAGAGGAAACAGGGAACCTCTCTCTCATCCCGCATGCCTCAAGAGGTAGCGCGTTCCAGGTGGTATATATTTCAGCGAGTTAGAATGTACTCTAAGCTTATAAGTAATATTCACTGTTGCGATTTCGCAACAGTGCAAGTAATATTTACTATCGTTTTGAGTAAACAGCAACTTTTTATTCGTTTTGAGTCAGATTCCACACTAAAAAATTTTGAATATAAATTGAACAAATCCGTTGAACTTTATTGTTCAAATAAAAGGGTTACTGTCACTTAGAGAGATGGCGTCCGCGACTCAGAAACTGGCTAATAAAAATGAAAAATGGGGGTTTATAGGCTTATTTTGAGGTTTTCACCGATTTTCCTCACATTTTAACAATAAACGTACCTCACCATTCTACGCCCAAACCACAATAAATAAAAAAAAAAATCATACAAATTTCACTTCCTAACTATAGATAAAAATCGATTTTTAACCTACTTTTTAGCTAGTTAGCAATCGTCATATTGGATCCACCATTTTCAATTTTGTAATCTTGATCTCAGATTTGTATTTAGTGACCTTCACAACACACCCTCTGTATCTGTTTTTGTGACGGTCATACTGTATTTGGAGAGAAAAATAGGAGCCTGATTGGCTTACCTTTGAGATTTTTACTTATTTCTCTTACATTTTGATAGCAAACAGATATCACCACGTGATTCTATAGTCAAGAAACTATAAGAAACTATGAAAATTCTACATGCTGGCTTGAGAGCAAAAATTAGCCGCTTTTTAATATACTCCTTTTTCTTTCATTGCACTCGATTCAAGAGTCATTCAACGGACAGTTCCTGTGAACATAGTTGCTCACTTTCTGACGTGTTTAAAAAAACAGGAGGACCTAAAGAGATTTAATTATTTATTTTATGATTGCATTAGCGACATGTAAATCGAGCCCTGTAGTTTTTACGCATTGTCAGTATTTTTTGTAATTTTTAATCGTCTTTCCTATATTGAAAAAAAAATAGTTGATCTGACTAGAATTATAGTTATTTTTGGCCTGAACCATGTTTTTTGGTTGCTCTAACATGCTAATAGTAGTGGTAACATGGATATAAGATAACATGGATATTATCACTGATATAGTAGAATTTAATAAAAAATAGTTTCCTAACTATAATTCATAGTAATCATTTTTCTATGCGATTATAGTTATGAATACTAAATATTTCTTTCTCAGTATATTTGCTAAATGTATGCCTTTGAATCGTAGCAACTATAGCCTTAATAAGAAATATTTAATATTAAATTATATATGGAATCCGCAGAATGTAACACATAGTGGAATTATCTGATATACTAATAAATTTCTTCGATGTCGTGATTACAATTGTTACTATAATCAAGATAACGAACAAATGTTTTGGGGGGTTTCACAGGAATAACTTTTCCGTTCTATATACGAAAGGAAAATTAGCTTTCTTTCATATGTAAATTCTCTACAATACGAGAGATATTTTCTAGTAATTTTTATAAAGTTTATTGTACTAAGAAATATAGAAAATTTTTTAAATAGATTCTCTCTCCAAGGTAGACTATTTTATTCAATACACATATCTTGATAAGGAGAAGTTTTTTCAAAAAATGTTTCAGACAAAAGTTTTATGGCTTTGAGGAAGAAAGAAAATGAAGAATTATCAGTTTAATTAGATGGCGTCAATTTAAGTAGATGGCGTCACTTTAGAGATTTTATCATAGCGATTTTTTAAAATAAAAGTCGATTTTTCTCGAAATAAAATTTGCATTTGGCAATGAGACGAATATGGTTTTTTATTTATTTTTTAATTACATCACTTTTTTACCGAATTTTACATACTCTCACAATATTTCAAAGTTTATAATTTAAATAAAAAATTGTTAAATTAAACCTGACTTAATCTCGGTAAACGAAGTAATAAATAAATGTTATTTTTTCATCATATATCAAATGTTACGTCCCGTAGGGCCTCATGTACCTTTACATTGCGTAAAGACCGATTATTTATCCGACTGGGTTACAAAAGTTAAGTACACAAAAGAAACATTTAGATCTCGAGCCTTACGAAAGCATCATGAATCATATTACCTACAAGTACGCATGTCCACATATCGTCTGATCGAACAATTCCCGAATTTCTATTTTTTCCCATCAATCCGAGCCTCATCCTTGTTACTAAGCAAGACATCTCCAACGAATCCGGTAACCGCCATCTCCGAAATTTCCCATTTTCCGAAACTATAAAAATCCGATCTATATGATTTTTGGTGATTATTATCATTACTATCTCGACGAGTATCATCTCAAGAATCAGAATCGTTACGAGTATCAGTACGACTGTTATTACTTCCATTCACATCACATACGTGGGCAATTCCAACCACATCTGCCTTGACCATTTGGAAAACCACAATTATCCGACAGGAAGGAAGCAACAGTTTCAGGAGATCTAGAAGGACCTATTTTTTTGCTCATACAATAACAGTGAGTCATTGTTTTATTATCCGGTTTTCTCAATTTCGAATAAGTCCGGACAGACATATTTTCACCTTGTTCAAATCGCAATAATTCCGATGGACAATTATCGGTCAAAATCCTAAAATCGATATGTCCCTTCCCTCGTTTTAGTGAGACGTCGATTTTGTCAGCAACGCAGTGATCTGCGCGAAGCTCTAGATATGCTGGAGCTGCTGTCTTCCGTCTCCGATTCACTCTCACGCGAAGTATTTTAATGGATAACGAGTAGACTATTAGCAGAATATTTACATTTAGAAGATCTATCCCCTTCCCTCTCCACCTACAGCCATTTCCACCAGATCCGCATCCTCTTCCACTATCTCCATCTTCTCCTCCATCTTTTCCTCTTATTCTCCACCCCCTTCACCCTTCAATAATCCTGAACAGTAACGCTCTCCCTCGCCACATACACACACACACACACACACACACACACACACACACACACATCGTATTAAATTGTAGATATAAATAAATCATATATTTTTTCCTTTTATAAAGAAATTTGATTTCTTTCTTAACCCGTCCTCTCCCATTATCGCTCGAGGTCCAGTCCCGAGTAAAGAGATTCAGTTCTCTGACTCAAAATCGGACCGCTCGCCGTACGTCATCGCGCTAGTAAAGCGACTCTTCTGGTCGCTGACTCGCTCTTCGACCTATAAGTACAGGCGAGGTTTTCTTTACGTTGCGTTCTGCTGCAGGACGTAACACAAAGTACCAATGTATTTATGGGATTATTTAAAAAATATTACTTTGTTTACCGGTAAGGAGATTAAGTCAAGTTTAATACTCGAGTAGATCATCTTATTGACGGTTAACACTTAATACTCGCTAAAATCTACATTGACATTAAAATTATGGGTGATTATTCTCTACAAGAAAGGATTGACATGTTGCTTATTCTTGGCGACTGTCGTGATAATTATTATCACTGCCCTTTATCGAGTTCAGTATCTAAACAGGGGTCATCCGAATACTCTGCTGTTATTGCTGCTGAAATATTTTCTGTGTGTATGCAAGTTTTGTATCAATTTTTTTACAATATTATATTAATTATATGATTAATATAATATAATAACATATATTATACATTGTAAACATTATATATTAAATATATGTAGTTGTCTATGTGTTATTTTTCTGCAATTCATTATATTCCCCTACCTACAGTAACATATTTATCTACAGTATCCATCTACTTGGACAGTGTGGCGGCTATAGTATGATGTTACCATGTTATTTTTCAATGATTAAAGCGAGACCAACTTTTATTATTATATATGGATGTATTTGATATTAAATACTCTACAATTTTTGTTCTTACAAAAACTTCAAAATTTTGTGAAGGTAACGAATGGAGGGAGGGGGGAAATAAAAATTTAACATTAAAAAAAATGAAATACGTCGTTGCAAAGAGTTAAATACTGTAAAACATTTGCAGGAAACATTTTTTCATATACCTCATATCTTAAGAATTATTCCATAAAAATGAAAAAGTTTGTTTACTTCAAGGGATTGTTTTAACCCCTAAACTTTGAGATAAGCCGATATAAAAAAATATGTCTTGTACTTTTTGATGATTTACAACATATCCAAAGCGCATCAAAATCGATGAGGGACAGTTCTGTCAGGTACCTTGTTAGTACGTAAGAGACAGAGTTATGGATATGATGAGAATTAATACTATAATAAAACATAATTTTAATGTCGACGTAGATTTTAGCGAGTATCAAGTGTTAACCACTGATAAGATGACCCACTCGAAACCCACACTAAATTTGATTTAGGCTGTGTTCGCTTTGGGTACTTACGCAGTGTAAGTGTCATTCAATCTTCCTCCTACATGTAACGAACGATAAAGATAGAGTGATATTTATAGTACGTGAGCGCCTAAAGCGAACGCAGCCTTACTCATAAACGAATTAATAACCTCATAAATATTGTTGATACCTTAATATACAATGAAAAAATTACACTTGTTTATTACTTCGTTTACCGGTAAAGAGATTAAGTCAAGTTTAACGCCCAAGTGCAAAACATTTTTTCAATGTTTTCGAACGTCTATAACTCAAAGAAAATACAATAAATTTTTTTTCAGAAAAGGCTTACCTTAGTATTTTTGGGTGTGCTCTTTTCGATTCTGAACCGTAAAATATTCAAAAATGTCATTTAATATTGGTTTTTTAAGATTTAAATTAAAAAAGCACAACATTATTCTTACATGTACATTATTCCTTTTACAATTATCTCAAATATTTCTTGCAAAACACTGTTTTCTCAGAGTAACAAATATATAAAGCGTGCACTAAGTACTTTTACTTTAAAAATATACCTGTAGTTTTTTTTCAAAATAATTATGGCGGTCTCAAAATGACAATACATAGAAATTTCCCTCATTCTTGATTCTCTGTTTATAATCTCTGCTGATACTTTTTTTTCATTGAATTGGGTTTTTTAGATCACTAATTGTAAATTTGAAGTTAGAATGTCAAAATTTAAAATGTTGGATTTAATATGGCGGACCAAAAATGAAAAAAATTGTTAATTTATATAAAAATCGGTATTTAGAGGTTTTTTGGGTCGCCGATTCCAAATTTGAAGTCAAATTTTTTAAATTAAAAATGGTTTATCCAATATGATGATCAAAAAATTAAAAAATTTCCAATTTGTATCAAAATCGATATTTACGATTTTTGTGTTACTTTTTTTGTGTTGCTTTTAAATTTAGATAAATTTTTTGATAAATTTAGTTAGATTTTTAAAATTTAAAATAAATGATCTAGTTTTGGCGGAATGAAAAAATAAATAATAATAAACTTACATAAACTGTGCTATTATTGAACTTTATTAGGCAATATTCGTCTTTTATATATTTGTATTGCCCTTTGCTATCAAATTGCTTTCGATGTCACCCGATTCTCACCGCGAGAAGATAGACAATAACGGAGAATCATGTTTTTGTATTTTTAGATTTTTAATTTTTTAGGAGATTTTTTGTTTTTAATTTTTTATGTATTTTTCTTATTTTATATTTTATCTATTTTTAGTTTTTTAAATAAATACATTTTTTTACAAATTATTATTAACAAATTAGTAATTTGATTGTAACTTAAAAAATATATCATTATTTGAGTTGCAAGAAAATTATTTTAATTTATTTATTTTTATTTCTCAAGAAAATCAATAAAATTCAACAAAAATCAATAAAATGATTCTGTTATGTAGGACAAACCATGATGAAACGTTAAAAGACGTTTCAGCCGAAATGTACGTGTTGCATAAACGAACACTGCGCAATACGACAAGCAAATCAAAAGTGCACGCGCTGCATAAAACATCGCGTTACACTTTTGATTTGTTAAATAATTAGGCCGGTAACCTAATTTCAAGAATAATATATAAAGAGTACCACCTACTTCGCAGAACTGTCCAGTCTAAGAGCGCGCGCGTTACGTATCTGAGGTATGAGATAACTGACTCACGAGTAACGTGAGTGTCCGACATAACGATAATGCGATACATTAATCTAAACAGTATAGTACAAGTTAAAAGTGTACATGTAAAATACAGTAAGGAAGTTATCAGGAGTTATAAGAAGAAAAATCCAAATAAATCAAACCGAAACTTTATTAAAATTCTACGACTACTTATTCTCCGCGACCACCCTGCACTGTTAGCACGTTAGCACCGGAGCCCAACTACCCGTTATGCTCGTCGCCACCAAAGGCACAACAAAAAATTGGTGGCAGCGGTGGGATCCGCGGTGCCCAAACCTGCAACAGAAAGGAAGAAGGGAAAGGTCAAGTGAGTGAGAACAAAAGGAGAGAGCTATAAGCCCTCTGTGATTCTACTTGGGAAATCCAAATATTGGGAATTACAAAAAACTCTGATAGACGAATATGAGAAAACACCTCGACGCCGCATCAGAAGCATATCGAGGAGACTTGAGAAACCGGAAAAGACGACACCACAGCAGAACCGAGGACGATCGTCGGAGATACAATCATCAAACGCCTGCTGTCAGCAACACTGGAGCCTACAGTACGTCAGCATACCGAGCTAACCTGCCCCAAGCATCTTACGGCGGAGCTACGTACAGGGAGCAGAGACAGCCCAGCTGATTCAACCTTGACACTAAACGACGACCGGCAACGGATCGCGTAAACCAAAACATTGCAAACGCAGCGAAATACAATAAGCGTCTCACGACGATAATGTAAGTTAAGAAATCACTGTTATACAGGGTGTTCGAAAACCACCGGAATTGCTTTTAATGGTAGATTCCTTACAATATTTTAAGAAGAAAATTTTAACACAAAAATGACGAGGCTATAATAGCTTTTAAACGGGAAGCGATTACATTTAACGAATGGCAGGGCTGAGATTTTACGCGCTCAGGTACGGAAAAATGACAAATGCAAAAAGTGCTCCTATTAATGGGGCGCTCTTCTTATGATATTATTGTCATATAAATTTGCAATATGTTTTCGCTTCTCTATGTATTGCATATTAATATATTTTTTCACAAATAAAAGATGTAAAAACTAAAGGCATATCAAAAATAATTCAAGTAAAAATGTGCACATTTCAACTTGAGCTATCAAAAACATCGATTAATATTACCATAAAGGTGGCACGCTACGCTGTGCGAGACAAATAAATTGTAATAGAATTAATAGCTGTTTATATTTTAGAACATTGTTATTGTATTTTAGAACATTTTTGAATGTTGGTAACGAAATACAAATTGCAATGGTTTTAATAAAAATCAATTTAAACAATAATTATAATTCAAACATATTTAATAAACCATAATTTAACATACTTTAAAAAATTAACACTGTTAACATATTTAACAAATTTTAATAACAACAAAATTGTTCAACAGATTAAATAACAAACTAAAATATTTTTTTTACAATAAATGTTCAGTGTCCACCATCGCATTCAATACATAATTGTGCGGGTCGCAATAGACTGCTTGTTTATAATTATGTTTGGTGTTATTTCAACAATTTTACCTTACAATTCCTCGTGATTATTAACTGGCTATTTATGTATACATGTTTTTTAGTATGATCGCATAAATAGTAATCCAAAGATGTCATATCAAGTTGACTGATCAACTTATAGGACCATCTTCTCGAAAATTTTTTATTCAAAGTGTAGCACACATCTCGCATTATGTAGTAGAATTTTACCTTACAATTCCTCGTGATTATTAACTGGCTATTTATGTATACATGTTTTTTAGTATGATCGCATAAATAGTAATCCAAAGATGTCATATCAAGTTGACTGATCAACTTATAGGACCATCTTCTCGAAAATTTTTTATTCAAAGTGTAGCACACATCTCGCATTATGTAGTAGAATTTTACCTTACAATTCCTCGTGATTATTAATTGGTTATTTATGTATACATGTTTTTTAGTATGATCGCATAAATAGTATTATAATCCAAAGGTGTCATATCGAGTGACTGACTAACTTATAGGACCATTTTCTCGAAAATTTTTTATTCAAAGTGTAGCACACATCCCGCATTATGTAGTAGAATTTTATTAGAAAATGCGTCGTCGTCGAATATTTAATGAAATATTCTTTAACAATTCTGATAAATTAGGTGCGCAACTAAGTTCCCGCTGTTTGTCAATAGATGGCTCCAGCAGTAAGTGCTGGTCGATTTTGATATATCCAAAACGTCATGAACCAAGCTTAGACATATGGTAAACAAACTGCTTTGACATGTTAGTGATTTTGTTTTGGCGTCATATACTTTTGGTTGTGTGAAAATGTCTGATTTTGTGCCAAATAATCGTCATTTGCGGGAAGTGATTTTCTTATTTCATTCGAAGGAAATGGCGGCTGAAGCGCATCGAGAGCTCCAAAAAGTTTACGGAGATGCTGCTTTAAGTGAAACAACGTGCCGTGGTTTCGTCGCTTCAAAGACGGTGATTTCGACGTTGACGACCGTCCGCGTGAAGGAAGGCCAAAAACCTTCGAAGACGCTGAATTGGAGGCATTGCTCGATGAGGATCCGTGCCAAACGCAAGAACAGCTTGCTTCAGCATTAGGAGTTACCCGCCAAGCCATTTCCAAGCGATTGCATGCGTTGGGAATGATCAAAAGCAAGGAACTTGGGTTCATTATGATTTGAAGCCAAGGGACGTTGAGCGTCGTTTTTTTGCCTGTGAACAACTGCTCATATTATCTACAAAATTTTTATAAATAGTATCATTAAGACTTATAGGCATTTTAAACAGTCTAATCTGTAATTTAATATGTTAAAGATATTATATCATTTTTTTTACATAAGCTACAAACAGGCAATAAACACAAGCAAACACAATATTACACAAGCAATAAACAGAAAACTTACTGTTAAATTATTCTGTATACCGTCCCAAATTGAAATTAAAATGGCGTTGATAATTGTGGATACGATATTCGTGTGGATTTTTATTTCTATAAGTGTGAGAACTATGTCTATTAAAATAACCTTCCTGCGTATAGCAAAATTCGTTTGTAAATAAAATTGTTTTAATGAAACCCGGTACTTGTGCCAATAATCATGTGCAAAAATTAATTCTGCGTGCATAATCTTACGGTAATAAATTTAGAACTTTGGTGAAGTGATAAATATGTATACATTCTGTTTTATTTTAAAATGAGTTGTACTGAGTTCTTAGAGATATTTAATTTTTAACTCATTTTATGTACATAGTATATTAGTAGATGTATCTCCTTCACACATTTCTAAAACTACTTCTTCATTTTCATTTATACGAGCGTACCGTTCACATCCGGCACTAATAATAAGCATGTTACAATACTCTACAGGAGTATAATCCATTTTAATCTTTTAGAGGAATATTAATTCCTAAATTAACAAGAAATATTATTTTTTTATTAAAATAATTAATTAATAAGAAAGAAATATAGGATCCTCTTAACTGAAATTAAAAATTTAAAAAATGAAAAATATTTATACATATGAGCGATTTATACGATACCTCTCGTTCACTTATTTCACCTGTTTTTCCTTGCTTTCTCTTGTTAACAATAAATAATTGATATTCCCCTCTTTAACCAATAAATTATAATGTTTTTCTAAAAGTTTAAAATGGATTATACTCCTGTTGAATATTATGATATGCTTATAATTTATGGTGAATGTGGTCAAAATGCGACTCTTGCCACACAAGAGTACTCACTACGGTTTCCAGAGCGTAGAGCTCCAACTCAAAATGTAATTTTGCGGTTGATAAATCGGACACGAGAAACAGGATCTGTAATACCCCAACGCAAAAATATTGGTGCCGGACGTGAACGATACGCCCGTACAAATGAAAATGAAGAAGCAGTTTTAGAAATGTGCGAAGAAGATTCATCTACAAGTGTACGCAAAATCAGCTGAAGATTAAATATCTCGAAGAGTTCAGTACAACTCATTTTAAAAGAAAACAGGATGCATGCTTATCATTTCACCAAAGTATAAAATTTATTACCGCAAGATTATGTATGCAGAATTAATTTTTGCACATGGTTATTGGCACAAGAACCAGATTTTATCGAAACAATTTTGTTTACGAACGAATCCTGCTTTACGCGCGAGGGTTCTTTTAATACGCACAATTCTCACATTTGGAGCAATGAAAATCCACACGAATATTGAATTCAAAACTATCAACACCGTCTTTATATAAATTTGTGGGCTGGTATACAAAATAATTTAATTGTAAGTTTTCTGTTTATTATTTGTATTATAGCTTATGTAACAAAAAGATGATGTAATATTTTGGATTTAAGGTTTGTTTTAGAACAATGTATATATATGTAATATCTATAACATATTAAATTACAGATTGAACTGTTTGAAATGCCCATAAGACTTGATGGCAATATTTATCAAAATTTTATAAATAATAATTTGCCAGAATTGTTGGAAAATATTCCACTAAATATTCGGCAACGGTTTGTTTTTCAACAAGATAGTGCACCACCACATAATGCGAGATGTGTACACCAATCTTTGAGTGAAAAATTTCCGGGTAGATGGCTAGAACGCGGTGGTCCTATAAGTTGGCCAGCACGCTCACCCGATCTGACGCCTCTGGATTATTTTTTATGAGGTCATATTAAAGAATATGTGTACAAGGAACTAATTAATACTCGCGAGGAATTACGACACAAAATTGTTCAAGCAATCGCCACAACGACACCAAACATGATTAGAAACGCAACAAGCAGTCTACTGTGACGCGCACAATTATGTATTGAATGCGATGGTGGACACTTTGAACATTTATTGTAAAAAAAATATTTTAGTTTGTTATTTAATCTGTTGAACTGTTTCATTGTTATTAAAATTCGTTAAATATGTTAACAGTGTTAATTTTTTAAAGTGTGTTAAATTAAGGTTTATTAAATACGTTTGAATTATAATTATTGTTTAAATTGATTTTTATTAAAACCATTGCAATTTGTATTTCGTTACCAACATTCAAAAATGTTCTAAAATACAATAACAATGTTCTAAAATATAAACAGCTATTAATTCTATTACAATTTATTTGTCTCGCACAGCGTAGCGTGCCACCTTTATGGTAATATTAATCGATGATTTTGATAGCTCAAGTTGAAATGTGCAAATTTTTACTTGAATTATTTTTGATGTGCCTTTAGTTTTTACATCTTTTATTTGTGAAAAAATATATTAATATGCAATACACAGAGAAGCGAAAACGTATTGCAAATTTATATGACAATAATATCATAAGAAGAGCGCCCAATTAATAGGAGCACTTTTTGCATTTGTCATTTTTCCGTACCTGAGCGCGCGAAATCTTAGCCCTGCCATTCGTTAAATGTAATCGCTTCCCGTTTAAAAGCTATTATAGCCTCAACATTTTTGTATTAGAATTTTCTTCTTAAAATATTGTAAGGAATCTACCATTAAGAGAAATTCCGGTGGTTTTAGGTATAAATAAATGAGACCTATGCCAAAGAAATAAGGCAACAAAGAAAAATAAATCACCGATGATAATTACGGATACACCA